GGCGCAGTATACTCCGCCATAGTCACGTGGTAATGCAATTAATGATTATTAATAACTGTATCTTGTAACTTTATTCCAAATCAGTATTTGAATAGCAATTCCGGACTCGGGTCATCTTTCCCACGACCTGTGTCATTTCCAGTGTACAGGCGTACGAAAAGATGTTTACATCTTTTATGAGTTGAATTTGTAATCTTTGGAATTCCAAAAATTTGCTTAAAAAATAATAGCAGTCGGGTGATGTTGAACTCAGACGACATAATATGAAATGTTAATTATATACTTTTATTTATTTTTTATTTATTTTATTTTTAGGAATTTAGAGTTAACAAAAGAGTATAGCTGAATTTTTGGTAGCTTTATAGACCCGAATTAAGACTTAAAATTTCAGCATCATTCGATATAGTAAATATATTAATAACAATCGATACTGTAAGTTTACTATTTATATCTATGGTTTATAATTATATGAAAAAATTATGCAAGATTTTAGATTTTCAAGAACGTGGAAGGACCAATAATGATGAGTCAACTTCATTGACTGCAGATACTTATTACTTTATATAGGATTCATTTAATTGTTCTTAACGTCAAAATAGTATTCCGAATATCTATCGCTACGAGGTTGAAATGAACACAAACCTTCGGAACGCAAACTCCGATAGTCGCGCATTGAATCATTAATTTAAGATTCATTAGCAAATAAGGTAATAGGGATCAAAGGGTTCTGATCCGATCTAGAATTAACTTCTATAATTAGTTAGAATTATATAATCCTTGCTTCTGAGATTTTTAAGAGTTTTTACGCATGGTCTCATGCATGATAGACTATAGTACTGTAGTAAGCATAAATAGGTAAATTCTGAATAATCCGGATTCCAACCTGCTTATTTAAGCTTGTGAGGATTCTATTTTAAGTTAGTATTTTATCTGTGTAGAGTTAAATTTGCAATGACGACTATGCTATGATGAAAATTAAATTTAACAAATAATTGCACTAACTAGAATTGTTTAATCCAGAATAATATTTGAATTGAATTTTATATTATAAAAATTAGAGTTATACTGTAGCTATCAGATTTATTACTGTATTATAAAGGTCATGGGGTGCTAAACATTAAAGGATGTACCCAGGGGTATGTTTTACTGTCCGATGCAAAGCGGAGAATGTCATTGATATTTTATTGGTTGAATACATGATGGTCAATCACATGATTAGCTCCAGACGCGCATACAGTCGATACTATCTGATTGCATGCATATAGACAGTACAGTATAGTTTATTAAGTTCATTGCATCGAAACGTTAATGACTTTTTAAATTGAATTCTGACAGTGAGATTGCCGCGTGAACCCTG